ACACTTATAAAATTGTGACGCGAAAGAAAATAGATCTTGTGGCTTGACGATACTGTTCTAATGAATGTCTTCTAATAATATAATTAAGCAAACTGAGCATATATCCGTCAGAATTGTATTTTATTCATTTAAGTTTTTACCTTGTGTGCAGCGAGACTGATAAACATAGTATATAAGAAAGAGGTGTCACCATTTCTATTGAGTCAATAATGTAACGTAAATGAGTAAGGTATTTCATAATGCCTACATTATAAGTAAATTCCTTCCGAACAGAATGTATCATTATCATGTATTTCAAACATGCATGTGCCATGAATTTGGTGTATGTTTAAGATGTAGTGTTGTTCCCCGGAGAGAAGTGTGAAACCTGCTAATTCACGAAAAAATTAAATAATATATAGTGCTGAATGTGCAATTTAATTTGAACATTACAAACCGGCTCTGTCGGAATGTTTTTATACATTGTTTTGAGAAGCAAGAAAATTAAATTAACTTGCCCAGTGACTTGTTGATCGGCATTAGTTATTCCTTTGTGAGAATCAGGTTTTGCCTTTTTGTTTGATTAAACATGCTGAAGACGAGGAAGTATTTCCCGATTGAAGACGGTTCTCTTCTCTTCTTCTCTTCTTCTCAACGTTTAACCAGGCTTGTAAATCCCGATGGCCAATTGCACAACAAAAAACACATGCACAATGCAATTCCACAGAGTATACCGACACCAAATCTGATCGCACGTGCAGACACATCAGATTGATTCTGAGTTGAATATAACATATTATCCTACAATACAGAGGCCATTACCACACAGACAATGTAAGCGGGTGTTTCTAGAAAGCTATTTCGTGACATGGATTTCAATAATAATATACATCTAACGCCCACTTACGCAATAAACATGATTTGTATTATACAGGTGTGAACGCAGACAAGAATCTGGTGTGGATGTGCAGAGAACACACACAAGAACAAAGCACATTAAACCAAGAAGTCTGGAACAGGGTGAAGAGGTTCATTCAGATGTAGACTAGCAATTTGCCTGTCTCGGTAAACACTTTTGATGTCTTGTCAAGGGTTTTATGTTGTTTAGTCTGTAGATTAACAGCTCTCTATAATCTAGTAACACTTGTTATTCGTATCGCATAGTGCACGGTGTGATACGCTTAGCTAAATGATATATTTACCTGTCGGAATAGATAACAGCTTATCAACAAGGCATATCACAAGTTACGAATATATTTGTATAACCGTAGGTAAGTAATTAATTGTATCTTTAATACAGATCGAAGAGTGTATTGCATAAATAATATCAGTTTAGTGATTAAGATACATTTCATTCAAGAAACTAAATGAAAATACAGGTTACCTACGATCACTGTTTAATGCAAATGAAGGTGAAAACAAGATTTATACAATGCAGGGGATGAAATGGGTTTATTAGTGATGTCATATTTTATAAAATCATCAAGTAATATAATGTAATTTCAAAATCCTAGATTTAGCAGGAAACCAACCCAATAGCAATGCCAAAGCCAACGGCAGACCATTCAATAATACTTAGTCATTCATTAGTCATGTGTGTGTGTGTGTGTGTGTGTGTGTGTGTGTGTGTGTGTGTGTGTGTGTGTGTGTGTGTGTGTTTGTGTAAGTGTCTATCTATCTGTCTGTCTGTCTGTCTGTCTATCTGTCAGTAAGTATGTAACAGTGAGAACAACATCATGCAAAACACATTTTGTTACCCCAGATGAAGATGGACCCTGTTACAAGGACATTAGCAGAAAATGTTGGTCGACTAACTGAAAGTCACGTGTATTTATCAGTTTGGAAAACAGTCAATTTAAAAAGTTGTAAACGAAACGTGATTGCATCCCCAACATTCCTGAATACTAAGCAGAGGTAGATAAATGTCAAACTAAACTCATGACAAATCCACTACACTTAATACATTGTTAATATACCGCCCTAATCACAGCAAACAGAGCCATAATATTTAGCAAGTTTACACTGCTGTGGACAAACTAGGCTATTGCTTCGAGGGACTAAATCCATGCATAGGTTCGTCGCTCAAGCCGGGTGGAGGGGTCGTCTCATATGTCATAAAGATGAATAATACAGGAAAAATATAAGTCATTTGTGTGAAGATAGGTTTAAATAGGTCCAGAATGTTATTTGTTTTGTTTTTAAATATAATTCATTTATTCAATAAAGTATATAAGTAATTTAATATCATAATAAATATTTATCATCATAGATATCATCCAAAATAATTCGACAAACTGTTTTTAAAAAATACTGAACAAAAAGTTAGGGACCACAAATATTTTCGGTGATATTTTTGTGATTGTGTGTTCAGTTCTCACTACAAAAATATCTCTAAATAAACTATTTATGATTCCGAACTTGTTTATGAGTGAATATGTATGGCATTTCACCATCACCCTTGGTACCTATGTTTGGTAATAGTAAGCGTTTGCTTTTGCGTCAATATACACATTCCTCATGAGCAGAAAACATTGTTTCATGCCGGACTGTTTTCTTTCCAAACAAAGGCCTGAGATTCAGGGTGAACGTGAGTTTCAGCATGTGAACATAATTTATATATTACCATTATTAAATTCATACTGACTTTATTTGTAAAACGATTTTCGATGATAGTCATGAGTGCCTAATATATGCTAGGGCGTCTTGTTGATGGTGTCTAGCCTCTGAATAGTTTGGGAGCTTACAAATATAAATAATGATTAAAAATGATCTGATAGATTGAGTGAGTGAGTGAGTAAGTCAGTGAGTGAGTGAGTGTGGTTTTAAGCCGCTTTTAACAATATTCCAGGCAGGGGACAGCAGGAATGCGTTTCACACATTGTACCCATGTGGGGAATCAAACCCGGTTCTTCGGCGTGACGAGCGAACGCGTTAACCACTAGGCCACCCCCACCGTCCTGAGAGAGAGTATCAGCACCCACCAACATCCAGTTTCAGTTTTCTCAGTTGAAAATGCTTATGTTGACATCAACTCGAATTCGTCGCCTGGTTGCCTCTTTTGATAATACATACCAGCGAATAAAAACAGATTACGAAGAAACAGGATTACATCAGCGGAACTAGCATAACATATAGCCATTTTGAGTGAAACCTGTCCACTGGATGATCTCCCTTTAAATAGCATGAAGAATAGAGTGACGCCCCTTTATCGAATTTCAATGGCGGACAAATATTGCAAAATAGCAATGACCAGGCAGTAGGCTGTGTGAATCAGACGTTGAGCCGTTCCCTGTTATCTGAACGCGTCTAATCCCGTGTTTACAACGTGGTGAAGTCAGCTCCCCGACAGACACATGTTGTCTCCCTCCACAAACTGAGACTTCTCTCCGCCATTGTTTGGGCTTGTTTGGACATAACATGACGATTTCTCCACACTTCCGCGAGGGACTGATAGTCCGGTGTTGGGATGTTCTTGGGTGAATTACGATTACGAAGCACACCAGTGTATGTTGTAAACGTTGAAATAGACGTCCGATACCTAGAATTATAGATCGGCACACACATGGGGGACCATTTTACCCCAATAGTCGAAGACGGTGCATGTCCCTGTGCAGGTTTGAGCCACAATCCTGATTTGTCCTTATTATGGTGTCAGTCTCAACAAGGTGTAAATGACTAAGACATACATAATTTCGGTCTCTCCTTCCACACAGGACGTGATAACTATTCAGTGGGCCTAAAATACATTGTTTTCATTTTAGGATCACGTGAAAAATACGTGATTTGAGTCACACTGACTTTCATGACCACAGAACTAACAGGACATGAAATATAAACTGGGCCGTTGAAACTAGGGATTAATTCCATGCAACTTGCACCAAGCTTTCTCAGAATTGACAAATCAGGTGATTTTTGTTTGATACAACCTGGAATTGTATCGATGGGAAAATACCAATGAATTGTACATCTACAGAGGCATATGGTAACATCTACCGAGACGTAAACACTGGTTTACTACCGAATCACTGAGAGTGGCATTCATGCCGAGTCATTAAGAGTGGTACATATGCACACATGTCATATCATAGTGGTACATCTACCGAGTCATATCAAAGTGGTACATCTACCGAGTCATATCAAAGTGGTACATCTACCGAGTCATATAACAGTGGTACATCTACCGAGTCATATCACAGTGGTACATCTACAGAGTCATATCACAGTGGTACATCTACCGAGTCATATTCCAGTGGTACATCTACCGAGTCATATCACAGTGGTACTTCTACCGAGTCATAGAACAGTGGTACATCTACCGAGTCATACAGTGGTACATCTACCGAGTCATATCTCAGTGGTACATCTACCGAGTCATGCAGTGGTACATCTACCGAGTCATATCAGTGGTACATCTACCGAGTCATATCACAGTGGTACATCTACCGAGTCATATAACAGTGGTACATCTACCGAGTCATATCACAGTGGTACATCTACCGAGTCATATCACAGTGGTACATCTACCGAGTCATATCACAGTGGTCATATACAGACAGTGGTACATCTACCGAGTCATATTCCAGTGGTACATCTACAGAGTCATATCACAGTGGTACTTCTACCGAGTCATATCACAGTGATACATCTACCGAGTCATATCAAAGTGGTACATCTACCGAGTCATATAACAGTGGTACATCTACCGAGTAATACAGTGGTACATCTACCCGATCAAACCGAGTCATACAGTGGTACATCTACCGAGTCATAAGCGGTACAGTGGTACATCTACCGAGTCATATATCACAGTGGTACATCTACAGAGTCATATCACAGTGGTACATCTACCGAGTCATATTCCAGTGGTACATCTACAGAGTCATATCACAGTGGTACATCTACCGAGTCATATTGCAGTGGTACATCCGGTCATATCACAGAGTCATACCGATCACAGTGGTACATCTACCGAGTCATATCACAGTGGTACATCTACCGAGTCATATCACAGTGGTACATCTACCGAGTCATATCACAGTGGTACATCTACCGAGTCATATCACAGTGGTACATCTACCGAGTCATACCAGTGGAGTCATATCACAGTGGTACATCTACCGAGTCATATCACAGTGGTACATCTACCGAGTCATGACATCACAGTGGTACATCTACCGAGTCATATCACAGTGGTACATCTACCGAGTCATATCACAGTGGTACATCTACCGAGTCATATCACAGTGGTACATCTACCGAGTCATATCACAGTGGTACATCTACCGAGTCATATCACAGTGGTACATCTACCGAGTCATATCACAGTGGTACATCTACCGAGTCATATCACAGTGGTACATCTACCGAGTCATATCACAGTGGTACATCTACCGAGTCATATCACAGTGGTACATCTACCGAGTCATATCAAAGTGGTACATCTACCGAGTCATGCAGTGGTACATCTACCGAGTCATATCACAGTGGTACATCTACCGAGTCATATCACAGTGGTACATCTACCGAGTCATATCCCAGTGGTACATCTACCAAGTCATATCCCAGTGGTACATCTACAGAGTCATACAGTGGTACAGCTACCGAGTCATACAGTGGTACATCTAAAGAGCCGTTAACAGTGTGACGAATATGAAACAGTTAAGTCATGAACAGTTATACTGTACCGACTGACCAACAACATACTGGGGCATTTAGACAAAACTATCTCCCGAAATGTAAAGCACACCTCTTTGAAACACACACTATCTGATAATAGTTATTATATACAAAATCTACCAAATAACAACTGCAGTGTATATTTCACTTCTCCAGTCACAGAAACTGACAAGTATCATCTTAATGTGTCATTCCTCTGTAAGGCAGGTATTGTTCAATCAGGCACATAATAATCTCAGATTTACAATGGGCTTGATATATCCTTCTCTATCGGGAGTCGTTTTTCGATGCAGTCAAATAGTGAGAGCAGGCTTACGCCACAGTGACATTAGTCGGGCTGAAGGTATATCAGTATTTTTATGTTCTCATTTCAAGACTGCATTTGGTGTTTTATGTTCGCCATAGAGCAGAGCAAATGTTAGTTTGTAGAAGTAGTGGTATGTCGTATTCTCTTTTTAACGCCGAGGAGTATACAGCTCTGTCATATCATAGTCATATCACAGTGGTACATCTACCGAGTCATATCCCAGTGGTACATCTACCAAGTCATATCCCAGTGGTACATCTACAGAGTCATACAGTGGTACAGCTACCGAGTCATACAGTGGTACATCTAAAGAGCCGTTAACAGTGTGACGAATATGAAACAGTTAAGTCATGAACAGTTATACTGTACCGACTGACCAACAACATACTGGGGCATTTAGACAAAACTATCTCCCGAAATGTAAAGCACACCTCTTTGAAACACACACTATCTGATAATAGTTATTATATACAAAATCTACCAAATAACAACTGCAGTGTATATTTCACTTCTCCAGTCACAGAAACTGACAAGTATCATCTTAATGTGTCATTCCTCTGTAAGGCAGGTATTGTTCAATCAGGCACATAATAATCTCAGATTTACAATGGGCTTGATATATCCTTCTCTATCGGGAGTCGTTTTTCGATGCAGTCAAATAGTGAGAGCAGGCTTACGCCACAGTGACATTAGTCGGGCTGAAGGTATATCAGTATTTTTATGTTCTCATTTCAAGACTGCATTTGGTGTTTTATGTTCGCCATAGAGCAGAGCAAATGTTAGTTTGTAGAAGTAGTGGTATGTCGTATTCTCTTTTTAACGCCGAGGAGTATACAGCTCTTATTTTAGCCCGTTGAATAAATAGAGGTTTATATCCCCCTAAGACATTCCTCCGGTTAACTGACCTTTCTTAATTTCTCATCACTCTCCAGACTCCACAAGATAAGACGAATCACCACATTTGTCTGTTTGCCCCCTCAAATTGAAAGTTTGGCCAAACACAGAATTAGTTCAGTGGAACGTGACTCGGTTGGCAGAGTTGGGCAGTAAACGTCTGTAGCGGTTATCTCCCTTGCACAACTCAGCCGCCATGACTTTTTTTCGGTTGTCTCATCTGACTTCGTGGTAACTGAAAGGTCGTAGAGACACAGAGACGCGCTGTCTCCCTACCCATCAGTGTTATTGTGTTTATGTTTTCTTGGGACCATCCTGCTACATGTTAATGGTATTTGTGAAGACTTGTTACGACCTTTCGTTCGAGAACGAACGTCAACCTGTGAAAGTTGTCAGTGGTCATGCACTCCGGTATGCATCGACATGTGTTGAGAGTGTAGTAGTATTTCATTGCTGAAGTAAATCATCACATCATTTGTTCCCTAAATCCTATTTCACAGTACCCGTGAAGATCCGTGTATTGGTCTTCAGCAACCCATGCTAGTCGTAAGAGGCGACTAACGGGATCGGGTGGTCAGGTTCGCTGACTTGGTTGACATAAGTCATCGTATCCCATTTGCGTAGATCGATGCTCATACTGATGATCACTGGATTGTGTGATCCAGAGTCGATTGTTTACAGACCGCCGCCATATAGCTGGATATTGAACAAACAGTGATGTAAATTATGTTAATGCTACATTGAGGATACAAATATGTATACTGCAGCGAAATGTATTTTTGCCAGAAACCTATGGGTTCGAATTCAACTATCGTCTTGACTCTTTTCTTACCATTATTGTGCTCGTCGGTTTCATTGTAATGTTTCAACATCATCAGTTCTCCATCGTCAGCAGTGATGGGGTAGTCTAGTGGTTAAAGCGTTCGCTCGACGCGCCAAAGACCCGGATTCCCCACATAGGTACAATATGTGAAGCCCATTCTTGGTGATAGTGCTGGAATATTACTAAAAGCGGCGTAAAACTAAACTCACTCACTCTCTCTGAATCTCCATCAAGCTGGGCCGCGAAAGCGGCCTTAAACTAAACCCACTCACTGGTTGTGAAATGTTTCTAACTTATCAATAAGGTGTCGGTCACCATGAACACTATCCGTCGAATACCGCTACTTCGTGACGATTGCACCAATCTCAACGTCATAACGTCGGTGTTACTTAGACCTGTGAAGATCACAATGAAGATCAACCTTCAGCGACCCATGCTTGTCGAAAGAGGCGACCAATTATAACGGGATCGGGGTCCAGGATGCTGACATGGCCGATACATGACATCGTATTTCATTTGAGTAGATAGAGGCTCATGACGTCAATCACTGGGATATCTGGTCCAGACACGATATATTTCAGATCGCCGTCCTGTAGCTGCAATATGATGTACTTACATGTAGGTTTTGAGTATGTAACCAGAAGGTCAGATCACTGACTGGTTGTGTAAGCTTCGTCGATTCTGTTATGACTTCCAAACATTTTATTGATCATCAGTTTAATCATCGTGGCGTTAAGACATTGAATTAATGTTGTAGAAGTAGCGATCAAATTACAAACCTTTGGGTAAGTGAGTGAGTGAGTGAGTTGGAATTTACGCCGTTATAAACAATATTCCAGCAATATCACGGCGGGCGACACCGGAAATGGGCTTCACACATTGTAGCCATGTGGGAAATCGAACCCGGAAAATTCGGCGTGATGAGCGAACGCTTCAACCACTTGGCTACCCCACGGCGATGAGTAAGAAAGACAACCACCTCCGCAGAATTACACATCATAGAAACCGATATTGATGAGAGTAAGTCTGTCTGTACTCCACTTTTAGCAATATTCCATCAGTATGAGGGGCACAAGAAATGAGATTCACAAGTATTACTCATGTGAGGAATGGAACCTGGTCCTTCGGCGTGGCGCATCCAACGCCTCTGCTACTAAACCATCGCCCCAGCGGGAATATAACCATTACTAGAACTATCATTATTTCGCCCGGGAGTGATAATATTCGCATGGTTTTGCCTCCCGATTTTAAACATGACTGTGCATTTTGAATTTTCATGCATGATAACCCATCAAAATGCATGAACAGGACCCTAACCAGTCCTAAACTGGTTTATTAGCTCGCCAGCGCTACTGCTCTATGCTCCATTTCTACGTTGGGTTGCCAGAGACTTACGGGCACTTTGAGATAAACTTTAAAAAAATAAAGACTACTTTAACCTAACCTGTTTTCTGAAGTTTAAATTGGTGAATTATTCCACAAAAAGCGTTCCCTGCAGGTTGAGCGCGTTTGATCGTAGCGCGCCATCAGTACAAGCATTGATCCGGCATAAATGAATGTTGATACTGAATGACATTAACAGTGAATACATGGCATTTAATGTTATTTATTTAAACCCGAATTGTATATGTTACTTTCATCAGGTTTTTTGTACTCAAAAATAGTGCACCAAACACCCAAGTGGTTCAGAATTCTTACCCCATTCACTTGTTTATAACAGACTTGTGTTCTATAGGACGCAGTTCATCGTAGACTTTTAATCATCACGGCTTGTTGGTCAACCTCATTCGAATGCCCTTCTCCCTCTGAGGTCTCATCTTTCAAACCTGTTCAAATCTCCCTAAGCAGCCCTTAGTTTCAAAACTATGGCAACCTATAGAAATGCTACAACGTACGCCAATTCCAGCCTTTTCTCTTGCCAAATATTTTATGGCCTTGTGTTTTAGCCATAAAATTGGCAGTCTGTTTGTTGGCCAAGATTGGGAAAACGCAACTCTCTTGACGCTTTTAATGAAGTCATTCCCGTTTAATGAAGACCAACCTCGGAATGTTTTGTGATTCCCTATCCGTCCCTAGCGGATAAGGAACAGGATGGAGTCCTCCCTGCAGATGTAATAGTTGGTCCAATCTGGCCTCTCCAGTTAGACCCCAATACAACGTGTGATTCCCCATGCCTTAATAGCCCTCCTTCCTCTCCTTTCAGTCCGTTCCCATTGACCCAATAGCTATTAGAGCTGAGGAAATGGGCCACTATTTAAATGGCTAGAATTCACTTGATCAAGCTGGCTCTATACCGGCAATAAAGAACTATCGGCATCAGAAAGTCGTAAGGGGCCTTTCATTGTGAATGCGAAAGCACTTAGAAGCATAATCAACAATTAATCTTGAATGCTATTAGGTTTAGATTGATAGCCCAGGCTATTAGTGATCAGCAATCGGAATATTTCGGCTTGACTTGTACATCCCGTGACTTCCCGACCTCTGACAGTCTTTCAACTGGATACTCTCGCCAGTCACCCTCACTACGCCATTTTGAATCCGATACCATCACCGAAACAACTGAACCACTTGGAAAAATATATCATGTGTTTCGTCTATCTGTTTGTCGAGAGTTACATTTCAACGGCAGACACTAATGTCATCACACTCCAAGAATATTCCTGAAGAAAAACTGCAACAACCCTTCACATCTAGGTTACAGCCGTGTACACATGCGCAGTATGGAATAACCTAG